TAAAATCGAGCAGCGTGTCTATCTTCATATCAAAGAATTAAGATGTTGCAATATTAATTGATTGTTAAATTGACCTATGTGAAAATCGTGTTGTCATTTTTATAGATATTGATTTCATTATTTTTAATAAATTCTGATATATTTTTTTTACCTATAATTTTCTTCAATATCAATTGTTAATTCATCAATATGTTATTTCATCAATACACACACACACACACGCACACACACACACACACATATATATATATATAACAAGAATATATATAATAATAGAATATATATAATAAATTATATAATATTTATAAATATACCTAATCCTTCAAAATCTTGTTCTAAGACACCACTTCCATTATCACTGACGGTAATACATGTTTTCCCATAATCTGTCAATTTAATATCAATTAATGTAGCATTACTATCTAAACTATTTTCCACGAGTTCTTTTAAAGCAGTTGCAAGATCAAGCACCACCTAATAAAAATTTATATATAAATATGTACATATTATATGTATAGAATATGTCATCTTATATAAAATATAAAAGAGATTCAAATGCAAAAATAAAAGAATAAAAAGAGTTCTTTTAATATATATTGATTTTATTTTTGGAATATAAGTTATTTGATGATATATTAAAATTTTATATATACATATATAAAATATATAATTTTTTTTTTGGAAGATTTAAAAATCATAGAAAGAAAAAAATTAGTAAATACTATTGTATTATATTATGCATGAAATAATATTGAATATAATATTAATTAACAAATTTATTATGAACAATTTAAAAATGATTTCACAAATTTTTTGAAAAAATACATAAACTTTATAATTTATACTACAATATAAAATTAATTATAATTCAAAAATAAGAATATATCAGATTTTATTTATTTCATTTAAGGAATTAATTGAAGAAAAATATTTAAACTCTTCATATTATATATTAAATGAATTAATAATTTATCAAATAAAAATTATATATGAAATATACTGTTTATTGTGAAAAAATAATTAGCTTTTTTATTTATATAAAAATAAAAATATATATATATAAAAAATAATAATCTTTATATCTTATAATTTTTTCCTATCAAAAATTGTTATTATTAAATGATGAATGATGAAATATTTATAAACTCATGGATCTTCATAATGAAATCTTCATTTAAAAAATTTTTTTCAAATTAGTATAATTCCAAAGTTATTTATAATATTGATTTCTATTGGATCTTATTATATTAATTAAAATATTATATATTATATATTAATAATATAATTCAAGATTAATTTTTAAAAAATTATGATATTAAAAAACTTCATTTATATGAAATTTATATATTATCTATAAAATATTTATTACTATATATGAAAAATTACTTTTTCATATTAATCTATTCCTTCTTAATTTATAAATTTTGTAATATTCTAATATATATAAATATTTTTTTCAACAAGAAAAAATAATATTAATATTTAAAAATTAAATATATATTAATATATTTATAGGTTATCTTACCTGACCAGAACAAATTTGATGAATTGTTTGTTTACTTATTACATTAATTTTTTTTGATTTTTCTGATGTTGCAATTGGTTCTGTCATTATTTAATAAATAATTATTTTAAAATAGAAATACAATCAATTAATTTTATCGCTTACATGTATTATAGAAACATATAATCGTTTATAAGAATTTTAACAAAAACTAAATACATAATTATATTGAAATATTTCGATATAAATAAAAAAGCTTTCTTTAATGCAAAAATATATAACATAGAATTAGTATTCAAACTATTTTATGCCCATGATTTTAAATTTGATTGATTATCACAAATTACTATATTGATTATAGCGCGATATTTGATATTTACAATAACATCTTAAAAATTAAGTACTTTTAAATAAAAAAACAAAATTGAATAGGTTTGTTACAAATTTTTAATTCATTTTATTTATTACATTATATTTAATAATAAAATAAAAATATAGAAAAAATGTATAATAAAATAAATAAATGTATAATATAATAATAAATATAACAAAAAATTATAATAAAAATATGGAATTTGAGGGAATAGTAATGAATATATAATATAAATTTACATTTTGCCTACTTATGTGAATTGTGTTTATTATCTGGAAAATTCAATATTTTTAATTAGTAATATTATTGTAATAAAATATCATAAAATTCATTTTCTTTAAGAATTCTTAATTCAAATGATCTCCTCATTAATAATTTTGCGCATCAATTTATAAACATCAAACATTAAAAAATCAAACAATAGAGTAATTTTTCTATTAAAGAATCTATATTAAATTCTTATATAGAGTTTTTTTTATAGCAATAGATATTACAAAATATTTGTATTCTGTCAATTCATTCAAAAATTGAAAAGTTTGTAAACTTATTTCTGGCAGAAATTATTTTCGAAATATTTTGAATTGCAATACTTTCTGACGAAGTCATATAATATAGTCAATATATATAGCAAATTATTGCTGCATTATTATAATTACTAAGTAATCATAAATGTTTTATATTTTATTTTTTTGTCATAACATTCTAATAAATCTTTGAACGATTTGGAAATAACTAGAATATAAAAATGTATAAAATTGCAAAACAAGTAGAATATAATTACATTTTCAAAACTCTCTAAATATTATGAGGTACAATTTTGATATTATTATAAATTATAAAAATATTATTATAAATATATTTTAATGAGAGCAAAAATTATTTTAGGAATGAGAAAATAGAATATATGATTATGTTTTTAAATTGTAAAAAAATTTAATTATATATAAGGTTTATATTTTCAATTATTATAACAATAAAATTTTATTAATAAATTTATGAACTGTCACAGTTGTTATACTTCTTTTCTAGATGTCCATTCTTTTCCTTAAATGCAACTAAATATTTTATAACTATTTATTTAAAAAAGGATTTCAGAAGGCTAACAAAAATTAAACGACAAAAATGGAGATGCATTTGTTATTATTAACCTTATGCAATATCGTTTCAAATTTTCAATTACATTATTATATATAATAAAAATAAAAATAAAATAAAATAATAATAATCGCAATAATTGCAATAATCGCAATAATTATAATTGTAGTAATAATGGTAGTAATGGTAATAGTAAGGTAATAGTAATAGTAGTAGTAGTAGCAGTAGTAATAGTAACAGTAGTAGTAATAGTATGAGTAGTAGTAGTAGTAATAGTATGAGTAATAGTAGTAGTAGTAGTAGTAATAGTAGTAGTAGTAGTAGTAGTAGTAGTAGTAGTAGTAGTAGTAGTGGTGGTGGTGGTAGTAGTAGTAGTAGTAGTAGTAGTAGTAGTAGTAGTAGTAGTAGTAGTAGTAGTAGTAGTAGTAGTAGTAGTAGTGGTAGTGGTAGTAGTAGTAGTAGTAATAGTAGTAATGGTGGTAGTAGTAGTAATAGTAGTAGTGGTGGTAGTAGTAATAATAGTAGTAGTGGTGGTAGTAGTAGTAGTAATAGAAGTGGTAGTAGTAGTAGTAATAGAAGTGGTAGTAGTAGTAGTAATAGTAGGAATAGTAAGAATAGTAGTAGTAGTTGTAGAATAGTATTATTGTAATTTAATAATAGAAAAATAAAAGTAGTAGAAATAGTGGTGATAATAATAATAATAATAATAATAATAATAATAATAATAATAATAATAATAATAATAATAATAATAATAATAATAATAATAATAATAATAATAATAATAATAATAATAATAATAATAATAATAATAATAATAATAATAATAATAATAATAATAATAATAATAATAATAATAATAATAATAATAATAATAATAATAA